CTTTAAACTCCTTCCCTCTTTTCTGCATGGCTGGAAAACAGCGAAAGTTTGGCGGAACAAGGGCAGGTGAGAGGACTTTTCCCATCTCTTCCCACACTGCTAATACCATTAAATCAGGAAAAGCCAAAGAAACTGCCCTAATATCTTGTCCATTTAAATCGTTATGTGTGCTTAAGTATAGAGGAAAAAAAACAAAAACTTGCGGAAATGAAGTTTTAATGAAAAGCAACAGAGCAAAACAAAGCAGAAAAAGTCACAGAAGTCCATTATTGACACATCTGCAGTCTCTGAACTGCAGACTGCGGGATTTTAGGAAATCAGAATTGTAAGTATTATGCTTGGACTGTTTTTCCTCCCTCCCCTACCTGGTATTCCATTATCAACCATTTTTTGCTCAGGAGGTGAGGTTGGCACATCCTGAACGAGCACTAGTGTCAGGTTAAAGCACAGATAGGAAGGAACAAGCTTCTACTTCCAACAAGCCATTAATACAAGTTTCAAAACAAGGCTGTGCTATATTCAAAGAATCATACAACACATTTATCTTAGTCAGAAGGCCAAGGATGTCAAACACCGTCCCAGACAGCAACACTGTTTTTAAATCCACTTTTCTCACCCGATAAAACTAGAAACAGAAGTGTGTACATTCCTTCAATACCTAAAATAAAGCACCAGTGTTTTGGTCGTAACGGACACCTGCCACGCGCTACTGGATATGAAGAAGTTATACTGTAGATACCATTTGCTCCCCAAGTGTGCTCAACACTCAACATGAGAACAGACAACCCGAGTGCAGTGCCACAAACACACCACTAGACTGAGGCAGACACATGTGACAGTATCCTACTTACAAATTTCCATCTAGAAAGTCTCTTACCTATAGCATAAACACAAGGCTGCAATTCTTACTTCAAGTAACATACCCTTTCCCTTCTAGAGTGACCCACCGATCAACAGAAGTTACAGACAGCCATCCTGATGACTCGCATAGGACCAGATCTTTGGATACACACAGGTTTACACATTGCATATGCACAGCATGCTTTTATAATATTACAAAGTTGCCTTTAATTGCAGAGAATTTTGATAGTGCAGCAGCACTTGCAAATGACCGCAGCATAAATCACTGCCTACACGTGATCACAGAATCAACCACACATCACAGCATGGTGGAATGTGATGGTTCAGAACGCACCTTAAAGGCGACCCAGTTGCAAGCCCCACACGAGCTGGCTGCCCCCCACCAGGTCGAGATGCCTGGGGCCCCATCCAGCCCAGCCTTGAGCACTTCCAGGGGCTACGCAGCAAGCGAGAGCAAAGCAGCTCCAAAGGCATTTGCCGAGTGAAAGGTGCTTAAGAGATTCCCTTCCCCTCCACCTCACTGCCTCTGCCTTCCTGGGACACCTGTCCCTTCAAACACGTGCCACCCCAAAGCTTCGCAGGGCCACTCCACTCACTGAGCAATCTCATGTCAGAGAACTGACTGGAGGGCTCACAGCAGCCCTGCGGCTCCTCTCACAACCGCTCCCGCTGTCACATCTCAAAGCACTTCAGACCTTCCACGCTGAGGATACTTCCAGACACATCACCTCACTGCACAGATTTTAGCACACCATTTGTGCTGTAGCAGAAGCCTTCCATTTAGGCAAAATGCCACCACATGCACGATGTTCTCTCCTGATGTGCTTTCCCACCAAAAATGAACCAGCACTGCTGTTTTAATATATTCAAAGGCTGCAGGTAAACAAGTTCTGAGCTATACAAAACCAGTTCATCTCAATTAACCCACAGGATTATTTCCTTCGGTTGTTTTACTGCTAAACTTAAGAACTATCTGTGAGATTATGATGCACACTAATCAAATTACATAAAGAAAAAAAGAGGATAAAGCGGTCACTGAACAGAACCAGCCGTCACTGCACGTACTTGGAAATCAGACCTGCAAAATACATTCACTTGCCAACTCTGTTTTTCCTTCTTCTAAATCAACAGAGCTAATGAAACGCCATCTACAGCAGCTTTAGAAAAGAAACTAAGCTTTACTTCTTTTAGAAGTGCTTTTTAGGATGCCCCAACATACAGAACCTGGGCCAGACTGAAGTTTTTCTCAAATAACTTGTTAGAACTACAGAGGGGCACCACAAATACAGGTAAAGGACCTGAGAATGTGCCTTCAGCTGGGAGCAGCATGGTGGTGTTGCTGTAAAGATCTCTCTGCTGAATGAGACAGAACAGCAGCCAAACCATAGCAATTTCTGGGGTGCTGTGATGTGGTGACGTAACGAAAGGAGAAAGCAATCTATTAACTATGGTAAGCATTGATTTATTGGATTGGCAGCCCATTCAGAGAATGATGCTTTAAGGTTAGGGTCCAATCTGAAAGTCAGCATACTAAAAGGAAACATAATCTAAAAAAGTCAGGCATTTGCATAAGAACTGAAAGGTGTCTTTTTTTTCCCCCTCAGCTATTTACTGTATTGCAAATATCATCTTACTGGACAACAGGTATCACACAGTCCTGTTTGTTTCAGTCATTATTACTAGAACTGAGCACACAGACGTTCATTAGTGCATTATTTTAAGCATATTAAGGATTTTCTCCATCAGATCTGAGCATCGCATGTGATAATAACCTGCCACATTATCACACAGCTCTCCAACCAGAAGGGTCACTTTTAATAAATAACCATCTGTGGAAAGGTATCTCCCCCAATCTTAAGATCTTCCTTTAAAGCACTTGACACAAAACTAGGATGGAACCTTTACTCAGGAAATTCAGCTCCCTGGGTCTGTATGACACTTGGTGTTTGTGCCCACTCGACGTTTGCATCCATTCACAAATGGATCAGGAAAAAGACGTGTGTGCCTTATGTCTTTTAAAGAGATTAAAAAGATACAAAGCCACTTTTCAGGCCAGGCCAAGGTGTGGTGGCAAATCTGAAGTTTTTGCAGCAGAAAACTAATGGTTCCCAGTCACAGAAATATGATTACTTCTGTTCCCTCTTCTAAAAAAAGGGCAAGATGTAAAAGTAATGTAGGGCAAAGATGTAAAAATAACATAATAAATGAACCACAATAAAAGCTTTTCGTTTCCTGGTGAAGTTAGCAGTGTAAATACACAGCTGATGGAAGGAATTGTGAGATAAGTTCCTTCATTAAAGGACAGGGGCACAATCATCAAACACTGCTTTTTTTCCACAACTTTTCCTTGGGAAGTTCCAGCTGGGGAAGCAGGCAGGAGCCCACTGCGAGTTTGCACAGGGCTTTCTCCGGCCTTTGCGGCAATTCCTGCGTGCCTGCCGCTCTGTTTGTGGTAACCACGGCCCTGACGGGGGGTTGCGTAGGAGAATTCTAACCCCGCCACGGCACAGACGTTCTCCGCAGCACGCTTTGAGCGCTCGAGATGCGAGTTTGATGCTTTCATCCGCGACGCCGAGGCCGCGCCACCGAACGGTCTCACCGCCGCTTTCCCTCCGGCCGCGACCTCGTGGCGCAGCCGGCAGCGCAGCGCAGCCCGCCGCGCGGCAGGCCCGGCACGCGGCCCCTCTCGCTCCATCCCCGCGGCCGCAGCCAGACGGGAGGAGGCGGCACTGCCGTGCGCGGCCCCGCGCTGACCGAGGCCGCTGCCGGGGCCGCCTCGTGCCCCGCTCGGGGCTGCGCGGCGGCGCCGTGCGGCGCGGCCCCGCGGGAGCCACCGCCTTACGGAGGGCGGGGGGGCGGCCAAACGGCCAGGGAGGCGGAGCGCGGCGGGGCGGTGAATCGCGCCGCGTACGTCTCCTCCCCCCCCCC